TTACAGCTATATTGTCAAAGCGTAGGATTCATGAGTTTGGCTTTACAACTCACTTTGGGCTTATTGGGAAGAATGTAACTCAATCATCAATGCTTCAGAAATAGCTCCTTATACTACAGCAGCCATATCTAATTTTTAAAGTTATGTGGAAGGTGTGGGAAGGGACCTTGAAGTTATACGGAGACTAAGGCATGGATTTTCAACACATCTGTTTATCCACTGAATGAGTATTTACTTTATTAACTCATCAAAAATAAATAATCCAAAGCTGATGGTAATAATCACATTTGTCTGTTGGTCAAGAAAACCAGGATGTGAATTTTCATTCAAATGCAGATCTAAGACAGGAATCTGCATTTCAAGTAGGTACAAGGCTGTCCTCCCAAGCAGTGGAATAATTCTTTTTTGCATAACTTTTTCCAATATTTCCTGTAATTTTCAGTATATTTATTTATTTTGCATGAATAATTTATTTTTATTAAGTGCCATATTAACAGTATTCCATCATAATTATTAATTATAGTGTTCTATCTAGCAGTCATTTTGAAGAAACACAACATTTTTCCAGCAAATGGAAAACTTGAACATCCTTGATACACAACACACTAAGACTGTAAATAGTGATAGTCAATTTTAGAGCATTATTGCTGCTATAAGGCTGCTAATTTTATTTTGATGAACAAACTATATTTTAAAAATTTTCTTTCCTTTTTATTGAGTGCAGGAGAAAAAAGCTAAAGATAACAAACCCTGTAATAGACAACAACTTATTGTTTGCTTTTAAGATTACAGCATATTAATATTTATTGTTCATTAGTCCTATAGTCAGTGCATTAGGTACTGTACAGTAGCATATCATAATACTTTCTGCCTGGCTTTGTAGTTAAATCATAGTTGTGCTTCCTACATGGTATGTTTAGTCATGTCGAAATCACGTATCGAATATCACGTAGAAAACACTTAAAAGTTTCTTTGTACGTGGTTAGCACCATATAATATTTGTGAGTCTCTGTAATTCTTGCCTAAGATGTTTTGAAATCACAGATAATACACCAAAGAATACAGATATATTATGCTCTATTTAAGTTGCGATATAGGCCTCTTTACCATTGTATCTAAATTCCTTCCCAAGTATTATCTACTATTTGAGTTTTTTCTTTTCTTTTTTTCCCCAAGGAAAATACACCTTTCTGTGTGCCTTTCTTTACATTGGTGGCATCGTTGCAGTGCTAGAAAGTCAAGGGTGCTCATCACCGTTCTTTATCCTTGTCGGATGTTGCATGGTCTTTGAATACACAAAAGAAAGCTCATGTTGCCTGTGCAGTCCAGCTTTTCCCATTTTGAGGACATTTCTCCTGTGCTTCAGAAGCACGGTGTTTGTCTTTCTGTCAGGGCTTCAAGTGATTTTGTTACCATTCTTGACCTGAAGCGTCTATTACTGTGAGGAACTGGAGAGGGGAAAGGAGGACCTTGGATATGGCATGGTATTGTACGGGAAAAAAATATGATTTATGGAGGCCTTTGCTGCTGAGGAAATTGTCGGCTGCTCTGTGCGGTAGTTAGAATTTCCTAAGGCTGGCAGCTCTGTGTCATCTTTGACATATAATAGCACCCTAATACAGTAGCTGTAGCGGGATTAATCTCTTCTTGCTTTAGACATCTACCCTCTTGACCTCTATATCAGAGCTAGTCATCATAAGCTCCCTTGGAGGAAGGTAGCCCTTAATAAACTTCACAGGCTGCTTACCTGGGGGTAGAAGTCAATTTTCTCATTTTACCTAGTCCATTTTTTCCAGTCCACACTCAAACCATTTTTGCATTTTCCTCTGGAGTGTAGAAAAGGGGAAAACTTCCTTTACAGGTACAAAGCCTAGCAAATTAGCTAATCGAAGAATGAGAGCTGACATCCTCATGGGTTTTAATAAGCTTAGTTTCTGCTGGTGGTGACTTTGGTAAAGCCACCCTAAGGAACTGGCCTTTCCTGCTCATTTTGTCGCTCCTTGCACAACCAAGCAGTTTCAGTGCAGTTCTAATACGAGTTTGCTGCTGCTTTTTGCTTTGAGCTTATCAGAAAAAATGTGATGATGAACAAGCATGGTTCATATTCATTCTTTCTATCCCGTCGTCTTCAGAGCAGGTCAGGCTGACAGAGCACAAATATACAGTGATCCTTCAAGGTGTGTGGTAGCACACATGCTTTCTTGGGCACTTTATTTCTGCCATGTCTGTTGTTCAAAGTGGGGTTAGGCAGACGTGTCAGTGCATCTGAACAGTATATTGCCATTGCAGAAGATGCTGCGTGAGCATTTTCCTTAGTAGATACCAAGCGAAGAACTGGGAATGAGCTAATATTTTGCATGCAATAATGTACTTTTTTTTTTTTTAAATAACTTTCATCACTTTCAATACCTGCAAGTACAGTCATATACATTAGCAGACATATAGATAGGTTTTTTTAATTTAAAGTTAAGATGAAATAAGTGAAGGTTAATTGAGAAAGCATTAATTAAATTTGTGCCTTAGAGGATGTATTTTGGAAGTTTGTCTTTCAGTCAAGACACTGAAAATTCTTGATGTTTGCTGGATGTTGCTGTCTCTGTTTGCAATTTGTAAACTTTTTTCTCTGTTGTTCCCTGCCATAGTAAATTTTAGTTAAATAAACAAATAAAATGACAGACTATTACTGCTTGTGTTGTTACATATGTTTTACTTAGCTCGTTAATTACTCCATTCGTTAGCTGTTAACATGTATTTTATCTCAAGCCAAAGGAAAAAGGAGCCTAGCCTAAAGCTCTCTTCTGCTCAAATGTACTGCTTCTCTTACATTTTACGGCTAGCCAGTTCACTTCTTTCAACGCTGTGCAGTGCCACCCCGTCTCTTTATTTTTGTTTTGCATTATTTTGCGCATATATTGTGCATTTATACATAGTGAGCTTTTGGTGTGCTGCTCATGTGTCCACAGCTTTTATAATCCCCGATTTCTTGACATTGATGTGCAAACCGTTATAGAAGCCAAGCACATAGGAAATTTTGAACGTTGATAGAAACAAGCTCTAAGTAAGGTGAAACAGAGCTGGTAGAGGATATTCATTCTAATCCATCAGCGTCAGAAAATCGGTTGCAGAGAACATGAGGAGAGATGTGGTCTTCCTGATGTGCCAGCGGGAGTGAGGCAACTGCACCCAGTGTAGCATGTACCTCATTCAGCGATGTGAAGAAAGCTTCCGACCAAAAGGTCGGAGCATGTTCTTCTGAGCAGTCGTGTTGGATTTGAGTTTTGAAGAATGAGCTTCCTTCCAGGCAGTTCCACACGGGCTCCTTTCTCCCATCACCGGGCCCTTTTGTTTTCAAACGTCTCCTATTAGTTTCCTAAAATGGGAACAGCTTGTCCTTGATATCTATAATGATTTATTTTTCTAAGCAATTAAAATTGATTTCTTAAAGCTATAGCAGCTCCCTCATTAAAGAGAATGAATCACTGAATAAAAAATGCAAAGGCTCTGAGTGTGAAAGGCGTGCTCAAGTTTCATTTGATTTTAAGGAAAGGCTGTAGGGCTTGAGAGAAGCAGAGCCGGATCAGTGCCTGAAATTGCGTTGTCTCCACACGAAACCCATTACAAGAATGGACCGTTCCCAACAGCCGTACTTGGAAAGCCTGAGCATCCTTTTCCCAAGCAAGCAGCAAGCCTGAGGGGTTTTGCATCACCAGCTTGTAGAACCAGATGCAAATGCAGGTATCCTGTGGCTTGCACACCTGCTGCTAAATATTTAAATGTGTTTGGAGAGCACATAAATTTCTCAGTGTTTTGTGAAGAGTTTTGTGAAGAGTTTTATCATTTAGAGCACTTCTGTAATTTGAAAATCAGAGTTTTAATGGCCTGTACTTACCATCTCATTTTTTTTCATTGTTAAATACGGCAATATTATGAGACCTAAATCCAGTGTTTTCTTTAATTGTAAACATTAATTTCCATATATAAGAAAGTATTATTTTCAGATGTTCACCTTTTTTATTTCATGCATAAAAACAGGCTTTCTAAAAATGAAAATGTCCTTCCACTCTTTGACAGTTATGAGGGAGAGAAAAGACAAAGGTTTTTCTTTCCTAACAGGAAATTTTGCTATTCGTGTGATTTTTTTTCTTTTCAGTTTTGTTGAAACTTAACTTTAAAATGTTCCTGTATTTTTTTTTTTAATAATACCATGAAACTAATGAGTGAGGCCTGTTGTCTAAGACTTTCAAAGTGTTTCAATATAGCGTTATTACAACATGACCAAGTCAAGTTAGCAAATTCTGAAATGAAATAAAGAATTTTAAAATGGATGTTTTAGACTTCTGTATCCATTTTTAGGCTCTTGTGTTAGTGATCACAGTTCTTAGCAGACACCATGAACCTTAACTGACAAAGTTATAAAAACCAAATATTGACATTAGTAGGATTTTGCTGCAATTTACTGTTCTTCTAAGTACCAGTGTAGCCTGTTGATGAGAAAATCTTTATGTCACTGCAAGATGCAGTCTCACACAAAGGCACATGTATAGACAACATCTTTGCAGCTTATTTTTCACATACAATTTTGCATACTACTTCAAGATACTGTGAATGATTTTCCATTCATCTATCAGTTTTAAAAATGGGGAAGATGGCGGTATTTACCTATTACCCCATTTATCATTCCACAAACAACATAATTTTCAGTAGTTGTCAGGGGGACTAAATGAAAGAAATGGAGGAGCAGGACAAAATCTACCAATAATAGCTGAATTTCTTAAGATTTGAAATGCTCCCTTAGACTGGAGTGATACTTGAATTATTAGAATTATTTAATAAGTGATAGAAGTACTTGATATTTTTATTAAGCTTTTTTTTTCTAAAAAATATTTAAAATTAAATTAAGACAACAGCAACATAAGCTAGTGACAGGGAAAAAATATTTTTCTAGTTATGCCAAGTACGATTGACTGTTGTGCTTCTGTTTTTTTCCTCACCAGGATTACACTTTGACTATGTATTTTCAACAGTACTGGAGAGATAAGAGATTGGCTTACGCTGGCATACCTCTCAACCTCACGCTTGATAATCGAGTGGCAGATCAACTCTGGGTGCCTGACACTTACTTCTTAAATGACAAGAAATCATTTGTGCATGGTGTTACCGTGAAGAATCGAATGATTCGCCTTCACCCGGATGGAACGGTGCTTTACGGCCTCAGGTTTGTACTTCCATGATGAAGATTTAATCACTGTCGTTACGTATTGTGGATATTTGCTTCCTGGTACAAGGTTATGACAAACATCGGGTAGTGTATTGTGTAACCTTCCCTGTAACTCCGAAAGATGCCCGTAGAAAACAAATGACACACTCAGTGTTCCTTAATTTTGCCAGAAGCGCCTTCAGCCAGGTTTTATGTGTTTCTGTAGAGCCACCACGTCTGGAAAGCCCGGTGGCTATGGGAAGCAGAAAAGCAAGCATTAATTGTAAACCTGAAAATTCTGTCCAAAAAAACAGGCGGTAAGATTGAACGTGGGTGCTTATGTTGTCCCTTGATGTGTCTGTAGTCTATAATAAAGAAAAAGCCGCAAGCAGCCCTGGTTGAACGGAGTCAGCCACAGTCAAGACCATGACTATGGGTACCTTCGGTGATTTCTTCAAACAGGGATCAGCACTGCAATGTGGTATATTTCAAACCAGAGGTACAAAGTGACCTTACATTATCCTACTTCCTACGTATTTTAGGCTGTGTTTTCTTTGTTTTCTGTCATAGCTTTTGTGGTTAGGAATGCTGAAAAATCATTCTCTTAATAAACATAATTACACCAGCACAAATCTTAATGGAAGACTCAGTAGTATCAAAAAGTTGCTTTCGTTGGACAGGTTACACCATTTGCTCCAGTGGTTTAAACTGTACCAGCGAAACAAGTCTTTGTCAGTGAAAGCTCCATTTCCATCATTGGAAGTTTCTTGTATTTTTAAGCATAAATAATACTCAAGATTGCTGCACATATGTAGTGCAGGATAAAGAGTCCCTAGTATAAAAATGAATGAGATCTGAAAAGTGATGCAGATGGATTATATGACTAGTTTACCTGCTTTTGGTTTTTATCAACAGTTGAACTTTTTACCTGACTTGGGTCTTGGCCTCTCACCTCTTTAATTACTCCTATTACATATCATGTATGGACTATAATTGGATGAATCTTCCTAGACAAAACAAAAACATACTCAGCCTATTATGAAACTTGAAAGAAGTTTGGGATGTTCAGGAAATGTTGTCTCTATAATTAACTGTTTTTAGCAAAAGGAGGCTTTCATCTCGCATGCTATTGACCCAATATGGAACACTGCAGGTTTAGGATTCTTTCCACAAGTAGTTAAATGTCAAAAAATGATGCAAGATATTTTTGTTTCCTTTATCTCAAGAACCATCCCCACAAGCAATGTAATAAAAAAGCAATGGAGATTAGAACTCTTGTGATCATAATAATGATCCTCAGGTGAGGATTATCTGTCATAAAACAGTGTATTTGAATATGTTAGCTTCCTCTTCTGCAAAACGTAAATGTCACAAGCAGATTGGATTTCACTTGATAGAGTATTTGCTTAGCAGGGATTTCACCAGTGGCTCAAGTGTGGCACACTTCTTTCCATTCCCTTTCCTCTGAAAGCACGCAATATCCAGAGTCTCATATCCGTGGGGTGAAGCAGCTGAGTTACTTAATGAAGGATAACTGTCTGAAATTAAATCTTGGCAAAATATAGGACATTGTGATCAGAAGGAAGAAAATATCTGAGCCTTAGCTCCATTGATTTAAAGACTTGAGCTTTGTGTTGCTCTGCCTGTCTTCTTGCGTTGTGGCTTCAGAGCATCCTGATGGCATTGGCCTCAAGCCGCAGTCTGCAGACAGTGATTCATCCTGTGGGCTGAGACCAGAACCTGGAGTTTTATGTGCCACAAAACACAGGGTCGCTGAGAATAATAGGGGAAATTTTGGAGGGTTGCAGCTGATTATAGAATATCCATGGTGCAAAGCAGTTCCTCAAAAAATATATAACGAAAGTGATCCCGAGGCCACACTGGCTCTGTGTTCTCTTCTGAACAATGTAGAATTTGTCATAGTTTTGAAAGACCTGACCTCCAGTTATCCAAGGTTTCTCTCTACTTCAGAGAAAGAAGTTTGCTACCACAGCAAAAGTCTATGAGAGTGGGGGAATGGGACAATAGCTTTTTGAAGTTCAACCCATTTCTGGGGAATTTTTTTCTTTGGGCACGATACTGACGTTGTTCCACCTTGTTCAGAACAATATACAAGACATATGATGGCACAACAGCTTTTTTCATAATACACCAGAAAAGAAATAATGGCATTATAGACTGGGGATCAAAAATAGAGTCTTTCCAACTGCTTGTGTGTTTGCCATATATAGACCTCTTGTTCTCAGGCAGTACAATGCTAAATGTTATAAATAAATAGAATGGAGGAATATACGTATTTTATCTGAAAGGACTCACATAGTTATCACCTGTATATAAAACATGAATGTTTGCAAGGTGAAAAGGTTAGTTGTGATCGGTCAGACAAGGCAACTGCACTTATTTCTGTTCTTTTTTGGATGAATGTATTTCTGTATCAAGGTGAAAAGAGGATCAAATTAGCCATCAGGACTGTGACCTAGTCACATAAGAAGTATTTATATTGCTTATACTGATTTATATTGTAAACTTTTGGGGGACAGAAAATATCCTTCTGCCGGTTGGTTGTGCAGCACCCCCCAGCACATCACAGGTGGGGTTCCTAAGCGATATAGCAATATAATCAAAGGCAATCAGCCCAGAAATAAAGTAGCAGAGAAGGGTAAGACAAGCTATATCCAGAGGACAGATAAGTGGAGTAGGGAATTTTAAACAATTAAAAATATTTCCTTTGTGTATTGCTTTCACCCAAAATGTATGTGTATCTGTGTACTGCTTTATCTTTGTCTGGCTCGTAATTGTTTCTCTGTCACTGCTGTGATGATGAGTTCTTGAAATGTTGTTGTCCTGCTGTGTCACGCAGCATCCCATCCCATAAAAAATAAACCTGCTCTTCTTGGGAGCGTGCATAAGCCTGAGCAATTAACATTTGCTTATGGTGAGCATTTGTGCAAGTTAAATTTAGTTGCTTGGACATTCATTCAGGAGGGATCTCTGAGCACTCAAGTTTGCCAACTGCATAATTTTTGATAATTCTGTCAAATTAATCATTTGTAAGTGCATGTTTTCTGTATTTAAAGCTAGTTATACAACATAATAGTAAAGATCCTGGTACCACACTCCTTCTTGTATCAGCTTAGCTCATGTGGATTCTGCTGCAGGATCTTAAATGAGCCCTATGCTAGCGTAGGTGAATGTACTGAAGCATGGGATAGAAACCTCATAGCAGCAATGCCCAAGTGCGCCTGCTTGTTTTACTTTGAGCACAGTTACCAATTGACTCAGGAGCAAGATCATTTGGTTGCACAATCCATATGGCTTTGTAAAGTTGATCACTGCTAACACCTTGTCATTTAAAATGTTCATCAATGATCACAGATTTAAGACTAAGTTTTCTTCTCTGAGACCCTAGGCTAGTCCTAGTTTTATATGCTTAGCTAGAGCTGCTAGTAGTCGTCATATTGAGGAGACATTCATCTCCATAATTAATAGCCCTGTGTCTAGCACCTTGCTTGAGGGTCCAGAAGGGCACTTGCAAATGTTGACTGCAGAGAAGACGTCCCCCTAAACTGCAGAGCAGCTGAGCTGTTTGTAAACTATTCCTGCCCACTGGGACATGTGTTAACAGAGGAACCAGAACATCTCCCAGCAGGCAGCTGGAGGAAGGTTGACCTAAGTATCCTCCTGTGATACAGTACTTGGTACCTGAAAGCCTATGGGACTAACAGAAGGGTATTCAGAGGACACCCAGAGTGAACAGCAGTGGCAGACATGATTGTGCCATAGGTAAGGCTGGGAAAGACAAAGATCAACTGTGTGCCTTTCTCACTGGCTGCTGGTAGGAACACAAGTGAGAAGATATGCTGAGTAACAGATCCTCAAGCTTTTTCCTTTCCTAGCTCATCCATTGCCTTTGTGCTCATACAACTGTCTCTGCCTGTGCAAAGACATTATAATATTTTCTTGCAAAAGCACCTTCTCAGTCAGAGAAGGGTAGCCTCCGTTGTCCTATGAAATAGTTGTAATGGTCTTAATCCCTTCCTTTCGTTATTATGTCATTATCTGTCTGAAATAACCTATAAACTAAGGATAAGCATTCTTTCGTTACTTTTCTGGGAACATTCATAATAATTACAGGAGGGTTTTTTTACTGTGAAAGAGTTGAAGAAAGGCACCTAACCATTGAACCCCAAAGGGACTGGTTGCATAAGGGTAAGTCACAGTGAGTTGCTCCATTGCGGTCAGTGCAAGCGTTGTTTTATTAAGCTGCTGGTCCATGTAAAACTGTGGACCAGATTCTCAATTATTGTAAGCTATTCATCAGAGAGTCCTCACTTTGAAAAATAAACAACACCAACAACAAAACCTGGATTACTGGCTGTACAGTAATTCTATTTGATGTTTGTATTTCAGAATCACAACCACTGCAGCTTGTATGATGGACTTGAGAAGATATCCATTAGATGAACAAAACTGTACTCTGGAAATAGAAAGCTGTATGTACATATGAAAATGCAAAACCTAGTTCAGATGTGGGGCAGTTTTTCTTTTATATTTACACTGGTGTCTGTAAACACTATGTGAGTCATGTAGTTATCACTCTTTGGATTTTTTGTTTGTTTGTTTATTTGACTTATTACTTTATTGACTTAGAAAAATGTACGGGGTCGTCCATTTCTAGATGGATGGATACATCCTAGAAAAATGGATTTAGGACAGAATGAAGTCATTTATTGCTCCAACCTTACTTGGCAGAGGCAGTGACTGGATGCTTATCTTCAACACAAGAGAATGAATGTTCATATTTTAATCAGATTTATTGTCAAGAGAGCAAACACTGTGATATCATTTTCTTTCATTATGCTTTCTTATGCATGGATGGTCTTGCTGCAGGACCCCCCTGGGCTTTCAGATTGGCCCCATTTATGATTTGCAATTGTGTTCCAAACAGAACCAGATTTTCTCTTCCACCTAGTCATGTCCTAGGATTGCAATATTCAGATGTATATTTGCGCTTTAAGAGTTCCTGCTTCTTTTCTGCTACTGGCTGGAGATTGTGGGCCATATACAGAAAATACTAATATATATTCTATGTTCAACTGTAGTCCTCCACTACAGAAGCTAGTGGAAATGGTGCGACTCACGCTCTTTGGTGTGAGTGGAAAAGATCTGCCCCAATTATGTTTGTCTGTATTCATTGAATAATCCACCTTCTTCTGGTGCTTACCAGCATAAATATACACTTGGTTTCAGTGCTAAATGCGTATGATGTCTTAAAATCATGCTAATCTGCAATTTTGCAAATTATTGGGTAGCATTTTCTGTCTCGTTGGGGCCATTAATCCTTATGTGACTCTTATAAGAGTGATAACAAAAAAAAAAAAAAAGGAAACAGAGTATTTTGCCTCAAATTACTGTGCAAACTGTAATGGCACAGCTCTTCAGGACACCTTCCCGTAGGCATACAGAACAAAATACCATACACCACTCCAGCTGTTCTGGTTCTTTTCATTGTCTCCAATGACAAACTGCGTGTACTGTGTTTGAAGCTACATTTGAGTCTGCTGTTATTTCTGACTTACTCTTCTGCTTTGCCTACAGATGGCTACACAACCGATGACATAGAGTTCTACTGGAGAGGTGGAGATAACGCGGTCACTGGCGTGGAGAGGATTGAGCTTCCTCAGTTCTCCATCGTGGAATATAGACTGGTGTCAAAGAATGTTGTCTTTGCCACAGGCAAGTACTGTCATTTGCCTATGTAGTATTTAATTTCCTTGTGCATGACAATTACTGTTTTATTAATCATAATTAATCATTATTAATCATAATTATATATAGTCTGTGTTGTGTGTTTGGCTAAAGAAATTATTTACTTGATAAAGCCTGGAGGCAGGGGTCCATGAAATAGCGTTTCTTGTTTATCTTTCTGGTTTTTTTGTGTGTGTGTGATGATGCTTAAACAGATACCTAAATATCTATAATCTAAATAAATATGAAGTCATTTGCCTCTGAATCATCAGTTTAAATGTAGCCTACAGGGTTACTGATCATACATAAGTATGTTTTGGCATACTAGGTCAAAAAGCCACGGTTTTTATGAACACCTCCCTGCAATTTTTCAGTGCATGTTTGTTTTGTTGTTGTATAGTGAATGTAATATCTTTTATATCTTGATTTGCACTGATGGGTATATAGTACTGTGTCCATAGCCAGGGCTTTTGTCATCATTGTTAAGATGCTAAAATTAAATCCCTGGCTTTTTTCCTTGTTTCCTTGAAGATGTAGTAAAAGTTACTGGTAACTGACAGCATTGGATGTCTTCAGGTGACAAAGCACGATGTTGATTTACATGTTTAATATTAGACACCAGCATAGGAAAATGTTGTTATGTGTGGCAAGACCAAAGTAACACAGAAAGCCATCAGCAAGTGTGGGGCTACTATTTGGGACCTCCAGATTTTCAGTACTCTTCAGACCACAGGAGTGTGCTGTTCCATCTGTCCCAGCACACTAGAACAAATGAAGCTCAGCTCTATTCTGTTTGTAAGCATCACTTCACCCACTCTTTGGCCACAGCATCTGTTTCAAAGTACACAGAAACACAAGTTGTATTTTAGAACAAAATGTAAATATTGCTGGGATTGAAATTAATGTGAGGAGGTTTGCCAACTGCTGCTGTTCTTGTTTATCATTGTGAATGGAAGGGTGGGGTTTTTTTTAAAGAGAAATCAATACTCTAATCCTCTATCCCTCCGTTCTGCAGCCAGTGTCACCTTTGGCAGCCAGGGTTTACCTGCCCCTGCACAAGACTGGATATACTTTTGTGGAATGGCTCTTTGGGCAACAATGAGAATACTGAGAACTTATCTGTTCTGACAGTCCAAAGCCACCTTTTAGTTCCGTGTGAAATATTTCAGTAAAGACATGATTTAGTAATTTAGAGATGAGAGAGATTTGTTAAATTCAGGAAAAAGAGAAATTCTAAGAGCTGTGAGGCAAATATGAGAGAGAATGAAAACTAGGAGTAGACATTTATATGACTGACCAAATATTCAGAATCCTAACAGTTCTTTCAAAAAAAACTTGTGGAAGGAGTAAAAAAAGTCTCATACTTTAGGGTTTGAGACAGTCACGGAGAACAGATTATTCCATGTTTCTTGTACCATTTTCTGAAGCATATAATTTGTGTCACTGATGAAGACACGATACTGCATTTACTATTATTTTGGTACAGGACATTATGAAAATGCTTGATTAATTATGAAATTTTGTGACAAGTATTTCCATGCAGGGGAAGCATCACATTTGTTTCTCAAAACCACATATTTAATTGTAAATCCGAAGCATGCTAGTGAATCTGACAGATAAAGTCAGCACACTCTTTTCAAATTTCTTCTCAAGACCCTACTTTTTTATGGTCCTAGTAATTAGGGCCAGTTTCTACATTTTTGCGGAAAATAAGTCAGGCATGCTTTTTTTTTTTTTTTTTTAGCTTAGAGGTTATTGAAGTCTCAAGGGAAAATATTAGTTCTTTGAGCGCAGTATCTCAGTGAACATTTCAGACATTTCAGTACTAGTGTGCTTTGATTGTATAAAACTAAAAGAAGACTTCAGAATCATGCCATAAACAGCTTTTAGAGTAGTTATTTCTTCTATCATCCATGAGGAACAGTGCTGTATAATCTTGTGTAACTTATGCAAATGGAAAAATCTGTTCCCATAGTTACTAATGAGAAGCAATGGTAAGCACGAGAAAACCCCATAGATAATGACATGAAGCTGTGCAGGGCTGCAAGAATACTGGAGGAACTGCATGCATGTTGAAGCATAGCATTGGAGTTAAAAATGATCTTGCCAGATTAGCAAAATGGGTCTGGAAAAAAGTAGAAAAGTCAGTATGGACAAGTGCAAAATACAACATTTATACAACTAATTATTCCTATCCAAATTCAGGATAGGGAATACGAGGTTAGGCCAGAGTTATGTGTGTAGAAATCTAGGTGTTACTATTGATCTCAGACTGAACATGAGTCAATAACATATTTTTGGAGAAAAAACCAAAACCAAACCACATCCCACAAGGAGTGTGACCTGCATTGCTAAGGCCTGAGCTGTGCATTTGTGGTCATGGGTAGCACTCTTCAAGACAATCGTGGAGCAATAGAAGAGGGTCTAGGGAAAATTAGCAAGTAGGAAGTCTAGAAAATGGAATACATGAGATTGCCGGAGAGCCAGGCATGATCGTGTAGTTTAAAAAAAGAGAACACTTGGTGGGACATAACGTCTTCAAGTGTCTAGAAGGCATGTACAAAGACATGGGGAATAGCCTGTTCTCTTTATCCATGATGGAAATAAGAGAAAGGAGTATTTAAATTGCTGTGAAGAAAAATCTGGTTTGACTATTCTTCTAACACTAGCTGAAGGCCATACAGGCTACCATAAGACATCTAAAATGGCACTGGCTGCCTATGGATCAGTAACTAAATTAAGTCTACAGTTAAATGATATAAAATCAGTGCTGTCAAGGGAGCCTGAAGAGCTATTCAGCTCTTAAACGCTTCTATTCTGTCAAGTGAATACCTCTTAGGACACTATTCAGTTGCCTAAACATAGGTATCTGGTGCCTCTTGAGATGCTGTAGAACATCCTGCTTAGCAGTTAGGCTGCTGTTCCAGAGTTTTACAGTCTTGTGTCCTATGTGCCAATCTAGTGCTTCAGTATTAATTACTTAACTAGTATTAAGTTCGACTCTTCAGTAGCCTAAGGCATCTCAAATGGCATTAGACACCTCTCTATAGGCACTTGTATCACACCCTTAGATTCAGCTGGCTCTATGTCTAGATCTTCATGGTTTACACTGAGAGCTTATGCGCTATCCATGTGTAAATATCTGCATGCAGACACCTGAAATTTAGTGCCTAAACCTGTGAGCTGAATCCCCCTCCTAAATGTTTGTTATCCAGAAATGCTAAGAAACTGAACAGGAATGGGGATATGTAAAACACCACCTAAAAGCTTCAAGATGCATAGCAGTCAGAGCCAGATTAGCAACCTGTTAGTAAGAGGAGGGTAGTCTTAAAAGATTTGAAAATTAATTATTTGCTGTATTCTGAAAGATCAAACTGTAAAGTACATTTCCAGTTAGCGGAAGAACCTTCCCAGAAGAACAGATTAAAATAAGAATTCTGTAACTGACCAACTCTGTTATCTTGGTTCATACTTGGATAAAACAGCAAGAGACTAATTTAGCCTTGGAGCTAGATATTTCAGCTAGCTTTTAATGAAATTGAAACAGAAACAAGTAATTACTTTTTACCAAGTGCCCAAATATATGAAAGAGGAATATTTTGAGCTCAGTTATTGATTAAGTATTTGTTTTCATGCCTGCATTCTCAATACTGTTGTTAGATTTAAATACTTCAGGCCAAATTCTGTAATTCCTGTACTCTTTAAATTAGCACATAGACATCAACATGTTTTATGAGATGGGAGGAAGGGTAACAAATCTGGTCCCTGAACAGCAACACCGTTCTGTAGGCAAAAACAAATTTTGATGGAATGTTAACAACTAGAATTTCCTGGTAATTAATCTCTAAATGTACTGAGCCTTAATTGACAAATCATTATCCAAGCATAATCGGGCAAGTAACAGTGTAATTGTTGAGCTCACCAAGAAATCCATTTTTATTAAATAAACTACACAAGATGGTTCCTTCTTAGATAAATAAAGATCTGGGCTTACTATCTTTGCTCCATGCAGGTTAGGACCCATCCTTTTCACTGAGCTTTAGCCATCCAGACAAGGAGGGGGAAATAAGTAGGGGAAATAAGGAATGCGCCTTCTTTTAATTCTTTTTTTCCACAGATTCCTGTGGTCTGTTTGCCGGAGGTGAGATATTATAGCAGAGATGGCAGGCTGGAGGCAAGGCCTATAGATCATCTGTGAAGGCATAAAAGCAATACAGGTGAAAGTAATACAGATTTTTGTAGTCTCAGGGAGAGCTACCTAAAGGAGAACTCTGGCTGCATAATATGAAAAAACAAGGCTACCAGTTCATGTTTCAATTTCAAGCTGAACTATATAAAGATCAAATTATTCTGGAATTTCCTGAGATCCAGACCTTCCAATAAAATTTGAGCTTGGAAAATCACAACAAAACAGGATGACATTCTATTTACCTTTATGAAACTGAACAATGTGTCAACTCCAGTAAGTAGCCGTGATGCCAGCAAGACTTCTGGTTAGATTGCCCAGGAGCCACAGACCTTCAAAACCTACCCCGAGACCTGCAGGGCTGGGATTCATCTTGCTCTGATGGAATATAATTTCAGTGTCTACATATGAACTAGGTGTCTTAGTTGATGGGAATCTACTCAATACAGCTGTGGAGTCTGGAGACAAATTCAGTCCACCAGTAGGAGTCTATTTTAGGAGGAGATGGATAATTCTCTAGGTTTCATTTACTAGATTGAATAGATGAACTGACTCTCATGTAAATACAATCAGAGCTTAGACACCTAGCTCATGTGTATGCAGTTCAAGTGAGTCGCTTTATAAGCTGCTATTTGAGATGGCATACAGGGCAGCCTTCTTAGTCTCCAGCTGCTGATCAAAAAGATGTAGGGGCTATGTCATATCCACCAGCTGCGTGCTAGTGTCTGAGATGTCTTAGGGCATCTCAAAAGGAACAGTGCACCTTCAGATTTGCAGCTGAATCTCTCTGTTACAGTCCAGCTCCAACTTTAGAGCAGGAAGACAGACAGCACTGACAGCCCTGGCCCTAGGTATGGTTCTTAGGGTTCTATCTTCTAGCTTCAGGACAAAGAACCTAGTGCTTGAAACAACTTTATGTTGATATCGGTCGCCTTGAGACAATCTGCCTGGAGAGTCCATCTCTAAGGCCAGGTCCCACTAGTTTCAGTAATTACCTTATCCCATTAGATGGAGATCGTGATGAGATAACGGATGATGGTCATCGGTGAAGCATTCAAGACAAATGTCGAAAGTTTTCTCCATTGTACTGTTTCTCAGTTCAGAATTTCATTACTGAACATTACTGACATACGTGGCACATTACTTCTCTCCACTGTGGACACACGCCTCCTCCATCCACACCATTTTCCCTGCTTTATCAATAGCAAAGTGCTCTCTTTCTTCTTTCTCTGAGGTTCCCCAATGCGTCCAGGGTCCTTGGCACTGGAGCAGCCCAAGAAGAGGCTTTGATTCAGTGATTCAGTTCCACTGAACAATCTTGAATGAATCCTTCAGACTATTTATCAAAGAATCAGTATTTTATGGGAAATTTTCCAGTCATCACCTCTATCAATGATATTCCACAGACACCCAGACCTGGATAGGACTTTTGGAAAGGAAGACATTTATAGAGAATCCTTTACATGGGTGGTGTATTATATGAAATAATTCTCTTCAACAGAGCTTTATAAAGATTTCTGTCTGATGCACTACTCTTCTTGCAGAAAGGTGATCAGGTCTGCTACATTTTTAGTGTATTTCATTATGGCAGGGTATGCTCCTGTTTTATTTACATAGTCTGCAGACACAAGACCGTGGAAACCATTTCACAGGAAGCTCAATGAAAAAGTTAAGCTTTGTTAGCAAAAAAGCAGGCATGGTTTCAAAGAGAGAATTTGTCTTTTGAAATGAAATATTGTTCATTGGAAAATGAAGATTTTAAGCAAGCTAAAGTCTAATGATTCTTTGCTGAAAATTATGTTGATTGCTTTAGACAGCAGAAAACCTTGGTCTGATTTTCATGATGAAATAAATTCTTCTGACTCTACCAATATTATTCTATTGGTGAAACTAGAAGTCATTTCACCCTGCAAAAAATTACTACTGATTGATTGAAGTAATCACAGCAACCAAATACATCTACTTCTTTTTCCAGTGATAGTTATTCTGAGATTGTTTGATAAAACAGTTAAGGATAGTTGCATAAAATTTGATGCTCCCAGGATGCTTCTGCTGCCTGGAAACAGTGTAGCATTTTTTCTGTCATATGACTCAAAGTATACCTAAATATCAGGAATGTGATGAAGAGACATCTGCAGTTTTCTACTCCTTCTTTTGCTTTCTCTCTCAGGAAATCCATCATTCTTGTGTATATGGGCAAATGTAATTTCTTATGCTCATATGCAAACATATGAACATAATTTAAAGGGAAGTTTGTAATTTTTTATTTGTTGCTAGATGTAATCTTTCATATCTTGCACATATTTGCATTAGCATGGGTGGGATGTGATCTAATATCTAGTTGGGCCCTCGGTGTGTTGGGAAATGTTTTTTAGGATGTTGACTAACTAGAGCTTTTACATGAGCTATTGGAAGTGTCATATCTAAGACTAGTAATGCAAACACTGAGCTGAAATCATTGAGCTAATGTTATGGGAATGACTACCTTTTTCTTGTACAGCTGTACTCAGATTTAATCCTCTTTGCATTTGGTGAAAGAAGTCACAATTTTTTAAACTGTTTGAGATTTCTAAATATATAAAATCTGTTCAGTAAGATCAACACCAATTTTGAAATACATCAGTTTGAAGTTAAATAATAAAATGTTTTGTTGGAAACATTGACATTGAGGTTATTCATTTTTTTCATTATTTATTTGCTCCAATTCTAACAATTAATGAATCCTATATATATACTGTGTATATGTACACACACATATAAACTCTTTTTTTTTTTGCTTAAAAAAAAAAAAAAAGAAAAAATATTTTTGGAAGAAAAATTCTGTCTGGCTGTAATTGATGTTAGAGGCCTTTGGATCTAATTTGAAGGCTTTTCCTTACTGGAATTCATTACAATTTATTTTTGACACCACAGGTAGCATGTTTCTCATAGTGCAGATGTAATTAAGAAGTTCCATCTCATGAACAACTCTTCCATGCACATACAAAACTATGCACGTTACTAATCCTCTGAATATAAATACTACACATAAAACTGTGTATTTGGATAAGCATTGTACTTGGAGACTTAAGCAGCTGTTCTTAAAAACTAACCAGTGCTCCCCCATCTGTTCAGTAATCTAGAATAATTTACTCTCTCTTTTCTTCCCAAATACAAATTGCTTGGATTTCACTATATTCACTGCAAGGTTTCTTTTGATACCAACCAGTAAGACAGTGAAGGCGTTTTCCCTACTGTTCTGCAGATGTCATACTACCCCATAAAATGTGCACACCTTAGTTTCTAAAACTGACGACAACTATCTGCAAGTGTCTTCTCTTCAGTATGAATAACACTGGTTTCCCCTCCCTTTCCTCAGGTGCCTATCCAAGACTCTCGCTGAGCTTCAGGTTGAAGAGAAATATTGGATACTTTATTCTTCAAACCTACATGCCCTCCATACTGATTACCATTTTATCATGGGTGTCATTCTGGATCAATTATGATGCATCCGCAGCAAGAGTTGCCCTTGGTATGTGCTAAGAATGAGTGGGACGTTAAAATGTCAGACTGAATGTAGCCATCGGAGGTTGTTAAAGGCTGCAACGTGATGTCAGTGTTTTGATATTCCAAAATCATTTACGTCAAAATCATGTCATTCAGTATTGTCTCAAAAGTGATAAGTTTTCCTCTGCATGCAAGAATGTAGCTGCCACTAAATCTCTGGCGTGAGCTGCTCATATGGGTCTCAGCCTTGTTCTCGTCAAAGTTAATGTTGTTGTCAGTAGCTTCAGCGAGGGGACCAGCTCTGGAATCATACTCCAAGGGCTTGAGCTCATGTGGGAGGACAAGTGTGGCTCCAAGCCTCCTCCTGAGGCGCTGGGTGTTTTATCTGCCAGTGGCAGGAACAGACCTCAAGACCATGTGCTCATTCAGAGTGCAGGGGACACGTCAGCTATGGACCATGACATCCCAGCTCACCCTCAGAATGTACGGTATGCTAAGTGCATTTTTATGACAGCTTAAACTGCCGTTTACCTCATGGCAGAAAAACATGGATTTGGCACAGATTGGTGATCCCAGTCCAAGACCTTTTCAGATCAAAGTATGCTTTAGATAAGGGGAGGTGGCTTCAAAATAGCTCACAGAAAATATTTCATCTATTACAGAAGCATACTCAGGGATAGCTAGAGACAAGGAATATTAAATGGATCCATAAATAATCCTTATGACTACTGCTGCCTCTCATCTCATCCCAAATCCTGTCTTCAACCCTGTGCTTCCCAATAGCACATACCTTCCTTCCCAAAACTTGACACTAAGCCTATGCTGTATAACTTTCTGCTATGCTCTCTTCTCTTCTTAAAACAGGAACATATTTCCTAGTTCCCTTATTTTTCTGCAGCAAAAGGTGACTCCAACCCATGCCCATGAGATTCCCCATCTCTGTACTGCGTACGTCCCAAGATCCCACGTACCGAAGCAGGCTGGGCAGCTACACCTATACCTTTGTGCAATATAATATTACATCCTAGCATCTGAACTTGGATAACTGAAGATACTGTAGATTAACTGCAGTTACTGAACAGTAATTTTACAGATACTGTGGATTAGCTGGTGCATATGGGCATGACACGATCTGACATTTAGCAGGTTGCAGCTAAGTAGTAGCTGAATGAGAGGTGGGACATAGAGTCCAAACAGCTCTGATGTATTCATAAATGAACTACTGGATACCGAAGATCCACCCTGGAGGTGTTATGAGGGGAGCACTTCAAACACATCAGTCAGCATCTAGATTTTACATGCCGGCCAGGACTGCAGAGAATAGACTGTTAGATGGAAGTTACCAAACCCAGTGACATTCCACGCTCTTCTATAATGAGTTCTCACAGTTTTTCCGTGTTTAAGAAACAGGACTGTCTCATGTGATGTATTTCTGTGTAGCACAAGTTCATCAAGTACCGTACTGTGATAACACAAATATTAGAACAAAAGTTGGAGACTACATTCAAGGCAGGCTCAGGAGCCCAGATGTTCTATTTCCGATTGATACAAAGTCCTTTTGAGAGGATGAAAATCCATCTAATAGGTTTTTCTGAGAAAACAGTTAGTGCCTTGGTGATTATGTCTGTGATGTTTGCATAATAAAGTTCAGTACCATGGGTCTAATCCTATGTTCCTTTGTATAGCCTCTCTTATGAGTCTGAAGCTGATATGAAATGGTATCAAAGTTTAAAGGCAATATAGCACCTTTGGACATACGGAACTGGCTCTGAAAAGCTCAGTTCAGAGGAGGGTAAGGCCTGCTGGCTTAGGTATTTGTTAGAGAAAGAATTCCCTGTGCAGTCCTTAGAGACATGGAGACAAGCTTTTACTCCACCCCTGGAAGAAGCCTGTGTTCTCTGAAAGAGCCTGGTCCTAGTTCATTCCCTTCCATGTTTTGCTCCTGTCCCTGGTCCCTCACTGCACACGCCGTCTGTGCTCCAGCCTGCACTGAACCCGGTAGTTCCCTCAACAGAGGAACCCCAGCATAGAGCAAAGGCCAGCTCATTCCAGAGACTGTGCACTATAGACACTGCCGATCGAGGCTGATACAGGGCTGATCTCAAGAGAAATATGCAAAACCATCAATTCCGTTCAAAACTGAGTTTTTGCTAGTTAGCCCTAAGTTCAGTCCTTTGAGTGAGGAGAAGAATAATCTGAAGAGTTCTCACTCTTGGGAAGGGCTGTAATCACAAGATTACCCTATTTTAATATTATAGGTGAGTGTCAGCTGCTTCTCCTCCAGCTGTGCTTTAAAATAAATTACTGATCTTCAGAAAGGCATTTGCCTGCAGGGTGTCAGGATCTCCCAGGGAACGTATTTCCTTTTGGTTGGTGATAGCCATCTTTCTATTCGGTGTGCTTAATCTTCTGGATCACCGAGAGAGCCACCAAACTCTCTCCATGTGGTATTTAAGGGCTTCTTTCTGGAATCTAGATTATAGCCTGGGAACAGGCACCAAAAATGTGGGCATTGTAACCCCCACTGGGCAGTCCTCTAAGTCCCTTGTTGACATAGGCCTTGGTAAGCATCTGTGCAATGATGGTGAGATGCCAAGGGTGTGTTAAAAGGAATCTGCAGGATTTTTGGTACAAGAATCAACTGGATCTTAGGTAATTCTTTGAATTCCTTGTGGGAAGCAGCAGCAGGTAATCCTACAAGGAAAGAAGCTACTTCAGGCTAGAGAAAGCCCTTGGGCTGCAAATGTATGATAGTGTTTGCTGCACACCCCTGTTCCTTGTGCTGGCATGGAGGTTTTCTAGAGACTTTGTCGAAGTTTCTTTAGGTAGAAGTAACGTGTCAGCTATACTCCTCATTTTACTGCAGAGCTGGGTGAGTTATACCCAATACAATTTTTAAATAAGCTTGTGCTGCGTGTGTCTCCGATGTATTTCAAGCCGTGAAACATCTGACATCAACACACATTTGTTTCACAGTTTAGAAGAAAAGCGCTGAAAACCGCGTGATGCTGACCTACCAAATATACAAAATATCTGTTACAGAACCTCACAGGCTACTACTACAGTTCCCTGGAGTGACACTATTTACACCAACAGCTTGATTTTGAGTTACACTGTCTTTATTTCTGTCTCTTCAGGTAAAAGAAGCTGTGCTTTATAATATGGCAGCCATTTTTTTTCATTCTTTATTTTTGTTCTGCCTGCATTTTAGTGACTACTTACAAACTGATGGTATAATTACAGAATCAGAGAAAATAGTAATGGAGGGGACCTATTAGAATGGTTTGCCTCTTTTACCAATATAGACTTAGTCCACAAATCAGTGTTTTCAGCCACCTGTGATTTGTGATTCCCGTAAAATTTCCAGCAGAGATACAGACCCTGCAGTTTATGGTGAATTCAAGTAGACTGACAATAAAATTGCTTTTCTTACCAGCTTTTCAAAACAGTGCTCTGGAATATATTTTCAGGTGCTATGTCCTTAGGTAAATAAATGAGGGTATGACATACCTTATAGATTTTCTAGGTACTTTATTAGTGTCCAGTCGATCACTGTAAAAATGCTGCTCTCCCTCCTTGGCTTTTTCTTTCCACAAATGCACATACCTGTCTGCCTCTCACTGCTCATCTCACTTCTTTCTATGTAAAAATTAGACTACTGCTCTAAACTAGTAACCTCAAATCCCTCTTCTATGTTATTCTTTCCTGAAACAGGTGTCTAAAATAGATGGGATGAACTGCTCTAGAAAGGTGCCTGTCTCTCTCCATCTACTACAGAGGGGCCCTAGAGGACTAACTTCAACCAATTGCTTAACTCTTAGAAATGTAAAACTGCATGAGAGGAATCTGTCACCATCTATATGAACACTCTGCCTTAATATGTGCACATGGTTTTATCTATCCAGACCTCTAATTAGTTTTGTTACTTTTTAAAAACTTCTCTCCGTTGTGTTGAGCAGCACAGTGCTATAAGAGCACATCTTTTAATGCTTGGCAGACTATTTGCCTTCCTGTCGCAGATCGGTTTGGTCTTCATGGAAGAGATCCTCCATACAGCTACACTGGCTTCCATGAAGCTATGTTAACTCACGGCAGTGGTGGCAGGCCCCCTTGTTAGCCGCTCCCCCTGATCATAGGAAGGAAATACTGTAACAGAATAATAATGCATCAAGCTTTAATTTTTCTTTCATTTGCAGTGATGTCACCTGCAGGATATCTTTCACAAATTTTTAAGCTTCTTCACACTGACAAGAAAAATTTGCCGAAAAGAAAAATAAAATTGAAGCATGATCTGCTTAGAGTTGTAAGATATATGCTCTTTTTTTTTTTTTGCGTAGGAATTACAACTGTGCTGACTATGACAACAATCAACACTCATCTGCGAGAGACTTTGCCTAAAATTCCGTATGTTAAAGCCATTGACATGTATCTTATGGGCTGTTTTGTATTTGTCTTCTTGGCCTTACTTGAATACGCCTTTGTCAACTACATTTTCTTCGGAAAAGGCCCTCAAAGGCAGAAGAAACTTGCAGAAAAAACAGCAAAGGCAAACAACGATCGCTCAAAGTTTGAAGGCAACAGGGTAGGATCTTTAATCTCTATATAGTCTCTCTTTTCTTTTATTACAAAAACTAACTGTATGAAATAAGCAAAATAATGATGCATAAAAACATTGCCAACCACATCTCCTTTTTGTGGGCAAACTTTGGCATTTTTATATTCAAGAACCTACATTGAAGAATATATTTAGGCATACAGAAATCGAAGTGATCATGATCTGTATAACAAGGAACTGTAAGAAGAAGATAACAATGGGAGTGCAGCTAGCTTGAAACTAAAGGCCCAGATCTACAAAGGCATTTATTTGTTTAAATCAAATATAATTTAATTGTGATTTTGCTCAAGTACCTACGTAAGGGAATCCAGGATCTGAGCATACTTTTTCTCACTTCACTTAGAGCAGACACATTTAGAATGGGAGAGAACAGATAAGGGATTAGTTCTGCCATGCTAATTAATTGTTTGCTGCATGTGGCATCGTCACCTGCTGCTGTTTAAGACCAGCAGAAAATTATGATTCCTAGAGAAACTTTCAGATTGATTTCTGAAGCACAGTATTGGCATCATCTGTGCTGATTACGCTCCAGCCTATTTCCTTGCCTGGAGTATTACTTCATCCAATGAATACCCTTTTTTTGAATACCCTTTTTTTTTTCCCTTTGGAAGAAAAATTCAAGGTATTCAACACTATATGATGTTAACAAGCCATGTCAGTTTGAATAGAACAGCTAAAATGCTCCCAGTGAGGCTTTTTCATTCAGTCCTGTTGAGTAAGACTGTTTTTTCTGTCAGCTATAAATTAGAAGAGACCACAGTGGCAAAACTACTACCTGTTTATTAAATACCAGTATCATAAAAGTAATTTCAGCTGTATTTTTTTATCCTAATGATTCTGTCTCCTATAGTAAATGTAATGCAGAACTACACCTAATTATCGACAGTCATATCTGTGAAGTAATTTTTGAACCAATAAACTCGTTTTTGTCTACTATATTATGAAACCAAATTCTCATCACAGTTGGCAGCACTGCTTAGGACTAAGCTAGCAGGAAGAATTAATTCCCTTTCCTGGAAAAATAAATAGTTATAATAATAAAAAAAGCAGATGAGGAAAAAAAGAGTATCAGAATTGAAAGCAATGGAGAAGATTTTAGCTGCAAGCAGGTAATGCAGATGTATGCACTAAGGTTCAGTTCTCCCAATGGAAACCATCTGGTGAATCTTATCCATTTAAATGATGTACATAATTCAGTAGAAGTCTTGTTAATGGGCTCAATAGCACCCCATGCCTGACTGTTCTTCTATCTTGAGATCAATTGGTCTGTGTTGTCAAAAGAAGCATATGAATGTAAACTAATGAAAATGAGGGGTCCTCATACCCAGATCATGTCACTTTTATATCCCAGATCTGATCATACCATATATCAACCCTTTTTTTTCTCACTTTTGACTTACAAGCTTTTCTTTCCAGACCATCCTAAGCAAATATAATGGACTTTTCTAACTTCTCTGCTGGTTTAATATCAACCATGCATGAATTAAATTAGGATACAAATTTGGCACAGCAGAGCTGAAAGAAGAGTGTGTTGCTTTGTCCCTTGTAGTCCCAGCTGTGAAAGGGAACTCCAAATGCTTTGTAGAGACACATATACTCATACTGACTGTGAATATTTGCTGTTGAAATGATCTAGGATGAATAATGGTCCCATTCTCTGTGGAAAACATTTTGTTTCCAGGCCTCAGCTGGTGAAGTCAACAGAGCTTTGTTGCAGTCACTAGATTCAGTGCCTTCAGAGAAGCAGTGCCAGCACGCAACAGGAAAAGACAGGGACATTAGGTAGAGCTGATCAGAAATCTTCCTTTGAAAGAAAGCATAGACAGAAAATGCAAGTTCAGTGGATGTAGGATGTCAAATCTGAATTTCTGATTTGAAAAACACTGGCAAATGCAAAGCAGAGGGAATTGCTCAGAGCAGGTAAGAGGTCCCATTGCTTTCAGGATGAGCACTCCAGGAAAATCAATCTAGCAGATCTACTTTGGACAAAATTTACCAGGGCTTCTAGATACCATAGCCCTGAAGCAGGAGAACGATTTCCATGGTTCTGGATCATGCCCACCGTGTACCTTGCTGTACAGGCATCCATGGATGTAGCAGGACAGGTGGTCATGCCAGACTTTTTTAACACACTTGCCATGGTAAGACAGTACCTGAAAGCTCTGCAACTTTGGCTCTGACCTCTTCAGGGGCAGTAAAGAGGCATTAACTTCCAACCTGTTCTTTGGTGGCTCTCGAAGATCATTGGATCTGATGGAAATAGCGGCTGCTTGGCATTTGCTTGCTTCGTGCTTTAGAGTTGGGACTCAGTGGCTGGATGTCCTGGGAGAGGCTCACAAACTGGAGGGCATACTGCACAGTAAGGGAGGCTCAGAGCCACAGGTGAAGCCACACTACCTTGTGCGAGTTCAATGAAATTATTGGTTTTTTCATTTTGGTGAGGCTTCAGGCTTCCATGGAGCATATTTCCATTCAGAAAGGGGAGGTTTCTAATCCTGGGAAATATTTCAAATCTCACATGATTTGGGGCTGAGCAACATTTTTAAAGAATGGGAGAGTGCCTAAAAACAGGCAGCCCCCTTTGCAGCTATCGCCTCTATTTGATGACTGTTAAAATGTACGCTGTGCTGGAAAGAAGATTGAAAAGCATTCAGATATAAAACTGGAAGAAAGCATTATTTTTAGTTTGTCTCTAAGACTACCATTTTGAGTTGATTTGTGTTGCTGTTTTGTTTTAGTAATTGAATTTGCTTGTATACGAACCGTGTGCATGAGCTCCCTGTCACTGATTTATAGCGTTAGCTCAGGGCACTAGGAAAAAAACAAGCAAAAACCAAACCCAGCCAAATAAATAAATAAACATTAGTCCATTTATTGTCCACATCAGATGCTGTAACTTGTGGGTGTAGTGACAGAACAACTCTGTGCTGTATCAGGTCCAGACAGGAGGGGCTGCGGCGCTGTGGGAATCGCTTGTTTGTATTGGGAGGCAGCACTAGCAGAGCAGAGGCAGCACAACATGTTGCCTGGCGTTCAGGCCCTGAGTTCAAGCATTGCTCTTATGGTACCCAAGACTGGGAGTGCTACTGAGGCAGTGTCTGTCTCTCAGGCAAAGGGAACAAGAGGAGGATGAGGGAAAATGTCGCGTTATTTTCACTCGGGAGCATTTTAGCCCATGGAAACCAGTAGAACCAGCATAGACACTGGTACCGTAGTTCGTTTTTCACACATCAGAGAATTGAAGTCTGGCGTGCAAGCTAGCAGGCTTGGTTATAAACACTGCTCTTATAGTAGCAAAAGGGCTTTTCATGCTTTCCTCGTCTTACTGATTGTAGAGCAGGAGAGTTATAATCATAGAATCATTAAGGTTGGAAAAGACCTCTAAGATCATCGAGTCCAACCATCAACCCAACACCACCATGCCCACTAAACCATGTCCCTAAGCACCTCATCTACACGTCTTCTAAATACTTCCAGGGATGGTGACTCAACCACTTCCCTGGGCAGCCTGTTCCAATGTTTAACCACTCTTTCAGTAAAGAAAGTTTTAATAGCAAAAATGCTCTAGGCCACAAAATCCACAGATGTGGGTATGTTTGTGTTTTATGCGGTAATTGCTTTGCAAAGCAGCCACTGTTCATGCTCAGTAACTCTGCTTCCTAATGCATGCCTTTGCATTGTCCTGCATCAGGAGGTTACAGGTTTCAAAAGCCGAAACTGGCACAGCCATCTCCATGGTGATGCTGCTGCTATGGACCTGCCTCTCCAACGCCAGCCGTTTAGGCACTTCTCTCTGAGTTGTTCCTGGTGCGCTGCCACTGAGGCTTGCTGTGTTGAGGAGGGCTCCACCAGCTGCCTCTGCCGAGCTGCCTGTTGGCTTCACTGCTCCCAACACGGCTTTCTGTCCAACCAACGAGCCCAATAGCTCCAGGCATTAGGGAGAAAAGAGCCCTCGTAGCATGCGAACGGCACAGCCAGTGTCCTGACATTACAGAGGTGACAAAGAAAAGCAGTGGGGAAAGGAAGACTGCCCTGTATTCTCCCGTGTAGCACTGCTGAAGGTGGGACGATGACTGAGGCACGTTTGACTAAACGGAATCTCTGGAAATGGTTTCAGAAGATTCAGAACTGGTGATGAGATGAAACTTGAGAGAGCCTTTACGAATGACTCATCTGTGGATCAGCAGCTGACTACAAAGAAAATTTCACACATAGCCACCTCTTCTTCTGACTGCTTTTGCATCATATTTTATTTCAGATAATGCACTGTAAATAGTATTCCTCGCTGAACTTTTCCAGACTTTTCCCAGTAAACCACAGTTACTGGAGACGAACATAGGATGCTCCTTTTTTTGTGTAAACCAATTTTCGTACGCTTACCAGTTTCAGATTGAAAACTCTCTCTTGAAAACCTTGATACACTGGTTCATACATAAGGACAAGCTCTAGGATAAAGAAAGAATCTTGATTTTTCATAAAATATTTATTCTGCCTGTGGTATCGATGCCTAAATTAAAGTTCTCTGTGGAAAAACTGTCAGAAAAGAATAGGTAGCCTGTAAAAATGTTTTCCCTTGAAAACTGGTCGCCATTGTTACAAATCAGTTCTGTTTGTCCTGTTTGCATTGGCAGATTCAGCCTTCATTTGTAGCTCTCCGTGCACTTTCAGTTTTGCTACATAAATTGTTTCTTTTAAATAAGGCTCAGATACAGCCTAATTTATAACTAAATCAGCATGAGAGAGCTCTAAGGCAATGCTGTTTTCACTTGTTATTCGCTCTTGTGGTAGAGGCTACTGGCATAATCAGCTGGTGAGCATGTGTTTTGGACATTGCTCCTTCTGGGCCAATCCACAGAGGTTATGATTTGTTACAGTCCCCTGCTAAAAATATTGCTTCTTAGTTCAAGCTGTGGCAATTTACGTTTTCAGTTCGGTGGGACCAAAAGTTCAGCCCCAGGGTATCAATCAGGAGGGTAACTATCACACAAGCTTATTCAAGCTTCAACCCCCTGTGGCTGCCAGACATGTGGGAAGAGCTTCCTTTGAACAACAATAATCATAACCCTTTATAAAAAGGCCATTCTCGTCAGGCAGTTCCTGCATGGTTTTTTAGCTCTGGAGATTCCTGGCTCAAACCCCCGCTGTCGGCCAAGGCAGCAGCTTCCCGCCAGGCATTGCTGAGAATAGAGGCTCAGGCCACTTACGTCTACTTAGCGCTTTTAAAGAACTGTTAATTGTAGCAACCTTTCTCACAAGTGGGATTTTATTCTGAGAATTAATATCTTGGCTGCTGTGGCAGAATTATCACTCAGTTTAAATTGGAAAATACGAGAATAGCAAAGCTGCCAGTATTCTCCTGTGCATCTTCATCTTTCCTGGATACTTTTTTCGGTGCTGTTTTGAACAGTGGGATATTTCTGAAACATGAGCAGTGATGAGTATGTGCCAAGTTTTGAAAAATGTCTGTCAAGGGTGATGAGCACAGTTCTTGTGAGAAGAACTCTCGTCCCGAAGCGCTTACAATGGGGACGTTCGGTGTGCGCTGGGAGAGTCATGTGTGTACTAATTTTGTTACACAGCCACTTTGCACAAGTATGAATGGTGCAAATCCAGAGACGGTAATAAGGATTGTACATGCAGTCCATAGTACAGCCCAAAAATTGTAAGAATCCACAGACAATGTAAAATACAGGCGAAGGGATGACCATGCATTCGTTTCCTTTTCTTCGTCAGTTCAAATATACCAAGGTTAATTGTCAAACTCTGTTCTTACTTGGTGGACAGTGATACTAAGATGCAACTTCCTAATTTTTTTTATTCTTCATCCTTTCCTTTTTTTCCAAGATTTTTCCATCTTCCCAGTTCTGCTGGCTACCCTGAATTCATCTACTAGGCTGATATAATTGTCTCTTTCATTTTTTTGTGCTTATTAATTAATATAAACATATTACGACGGTAGTGAGAGAAGTATCAACTTTTAGACTCAGGGAGAACACTCAACACTATCATTTTTGTTGTGCTTGCAGTTTTAAATTATTTAAAAAATATCCAAGGCATAATGTGGTCAATGAGTTTTGCTTTAAGCACAGATAACACTTAGGGCCTGATTGCGTACTGTTCTACATGTTGGAAAGTCATTTATATGTGAGTAAAGAAGATGAAAACTGCTACCAGGTAGTTTGCCCTTTGCATAACCATAGATGTTTGCACCAGGGCAGATCAGGTGAGAATCAGGTAGCTGGAGTCTAGATTACAATTTCCACCAAAAATAATTTCCATTTTATTATAATTTTAAGGGGATATCTATTTTGTGGGATAATGTACTTGAATAGTAATTTTGCAAGACTAACTACAGAGACGGCTTTTCGTGCTGTTATTTAAACCCGCTATTTGCATTTATATTGCTTCATATGATGGAAAGTGTTTACATGGTATTTAAAAATTTGGGATTGATGAACTCCCAAACATACCTATGGGGTTTGAGCAAAATGTTTCCTCTCTTTCTTTTTGTGTAGTAGAGTGAAAGACTTATGAGGAAAAAGAGATTTCATTGTAAAGTACTCCTTAAAATTTATGGAATATTAAACAGAGAACTAAATGAACCTGAAATAATTCAGACACTACCTAATAGTAAATCAAACCTTACGGTAGTTTCCCAACCCTAGTAAAGTGTTTCCAAACTGGCATTAAAGCTGAAGTTTCCCAAGAATCTTGATTGGAGAAAGGTATTCAAGAGCAGCTCTTGGCTTGCATTTCTTTAAAAATATAATACTTAACATCTAAACGAGCCAGTAGCTTGTCTAGAATTAAGTAGTAGATTCAGGACTTTCCAGGTGTAAAAAGGGCGTTGAAGTTTCATATCTACAATGTACAACCCAAGTTGAGCCTATTGGAGATGTGGTGTTCTTCCAAGAGCAAGGACCAGAGGTTCTTTGTGAGCATTATCTTAATTCTCCTCTTTCTGGCTTCAGTTAGGTAAGTTATGGTCGTTTTTGTGTGATAACATTAGGCTGCTAGAGTCTTTGGGTTTTTTCTTTGAACTGTAACATGTATAGTTCAGAAATGGTGAACTTTCAAAAGTGAATCTGTTTTTGCGTGTATAAAATATCTCACGGCATGCAGGAGCTGTAGTTGTTCAGAGGGGGAAGGGGTGGGGGTTGACTAAAACTGATTCTGAAATAAGAGCACCAGTTTTGCATATTTGGATCCATGCTGATTCAGCAGGGACTTAATTAATGATTTGGTACTCAGCTGTTACCATCTGCTTTGATGAGCTCACTGGGAAACACTCCATGGAAACAACCAGCCCTGGCTTGTGTCGGGGAGGAGATGGGAGCACCGGCAGTGGAGACCACAGCGGGGAAACGGGAGTGAATGGCTTCAGGTGGAGCCACGGTCAGGCAGAAAGAAGACTACAGGAAGCATGGGGGCCCAGGGAGACAAGGGAAATCCTTAGGGTAGAGCAGGATGGTAAGGAGTGAGGGGAAATTGGCCAAATACACAACGTCATCTCTCTGATTTATAACAAGGTTCGAGAGCAAAGCCTGGTGTTCACACTTTAGGGAGAATTTCCAGTGCACAGACAGTGACATTTCTGTGCCAGGTGATAAAATTATATTCTACAGCTCATAAGGAGTAAAACTAAAGTTTTATCAAAGACATTGGCCTTGTTCGTCATGTGTAGCCATGACTGGCATCAGTTCAGCTGCTTTTCTTAATCTGTACCTGTACAGTTACCTGGAGTAACAGTTTCCCTGGAGCCACCAATCTGCACTCATAAAGTCATAGAATATCTCAAGTTGGAAGGGACCCATAAGGATCATCAAGTCCAAATCCCTGCAAGTCGTGGAGGATTTTGCCTTACCTGTATATTTGGCAAACATGAGTCGACTTGCACAAGATACCCTGCCATTATTGGTTTGCTTCTTTATTCATTGAGAGAGCTTGTGTACATTTGTCAAAGTCATTTAAATCATTGCTTAAATCATTCAGAAGTCATGCTTACGTGCAAATACTTTTTAACATGTTGCATGCATTAAGTATTCATACTTCACAACATCACTGTAAGATTGTCACAAAGTATTAGCATATATTGCTCTAACTTTGTTGAGAGCTTAGGTGGTTTATCCAAAACCTCTGAAGAAATCAATACAATTTGCAGGAATAGGTCTCAAGAATATCTGCAGACCAGAAGCCTGATTGCAATTTCTGCAGACCTCTTCTTCTCTCCATCTGCTCCTTCCTTGTATTTGACATGCAAGTCTGTTGCTCTGTTAACAAAGAGATGCATTTCAAAAGTATGTTTCCAAAGATGTCTCATTTGATATTTTGAGAAAATATATGCTGTCGTACAACCTCATAGGACATGATGGTATGTTCAGACAAAGCATTTACACAAACGTTGCAACTTTCTTGACCACCTTTCTGGTTTGATTTATAGATGCAGTGACGAGCAGTGAAAAGTGGCAGCATCATCAGCAGATCAGAGGCAGAAGCTACGTTAGGGTGGCATGTAAGGTTGGCAGATAAGGTGAAGCAGGCTATGCGGTGTGATGAAATACGTGGAATCAAATGAATACTTTTCTTGGGCAGGAGAAGCTTGAACACATAGATGTACCCTCCAGAATACAAGCTTTCAGCTGACACCTCACTTACAAAAATCCAGGGCTCGGTGTTGAAGGACAAAATACCCGTGGACAGGCTAATGTCTGTAGATATGTAGGTGGCAGACAGAGTCAGAGTAGGAGAGATCATGGAAAGAGCAGCTGACATCTGTAGTGGTGGACAGAAAGGGAGTAGAGACCTGCAAGGGGAAGGCAGTGCTGTCAGGGTGGAGCCCGGCAAAATGGCCTCTGCTGGGGCATTTTTAGTAAGCTGAAGGACATTTCTCAAAGCCTGGGAGGAGATGGGAAGGGAGATGACATGTGACGCCGTGGGGGCCTGGATGAGAGATTTAGTTTGAAGCTTCGTAAGGAAGATTCAGATTGTGGAGATACTTTACACAATGCTGTTACAAATCCTGATCATAATTTGTACTCTTTGTGAAAAAAAAACAGAGAAAACGGAATCAGTTTTTTTCAGAGACCACCATAAGTAGTGATGATAGCCATGGCTGTATTTTACAGCTGTGTGTATTCCCTGGTTACAGATACTGCTCAACAGCATGAACTCGTTTCTACAAACCTCAAGCTCATACTTTTGTACCCAATGGGTTTCTGCCATGGGGAAAATAAATTCTTCTTAATCACCACTGAGGCTTCTCCATCCCATTATTTCGGTTCACGTTGTTTATTTTTATTTATAGGCACTCATCAGCATAATGTACTGTTGCCTACAACAGCAGGATTTGTTGGATACCTTAGGGTCTTCTTTTCTACTTGCCTGTATGTCGTTCATAGCATTTTATATTCTTTTTCCATTTGCAAGAAGCTTGGCAAAGCATTACTGATATACTACCATAATTGTTTTCACTGAGAAAAGATAAGCTGTAGCATCAATAATTGATGAAAGAAATGTCCATTTTACAGAATTTTAACAAGATGATTGAAAAGAGCTAAATGCATATGGACAGACACATAGCTACGCATACTTTTAATGCATCACACAAAGCTTGCAAAGGACGTGGTACCAGATGACTGTATAAACTTCAAAAGGCCATGACAATAGTGTGTTTTCTCAACCACTTTTAAACAGATGCTTCTAGGATGAGATACTCAACTGCTGCACAGTTAACTTGGCTAGATCATGTGGCAGGTTAGAAAAATGTATTAATTGCAGGATGAGTTGTGGATGAATAAATTGTGTACGTAAAACTGGAAGTTGTCCTGTATGGCATGATTCACTATCTATTTCTGACATGGAGAACTGAGTTCACTTGAACAGAGTCACACGTGTGTTAACTGGCTGAAAATACCCAGTACAGAGCATTTATTTTACATTCAGACATTATTTTCCTTTCGCAAAAGCAGGCAGGAAGATTGGAGCTGATCCCTGCATCAGCTGTCTTCTCTGCCTGTCTTCTCTGCCGTGCAGGGCATGGGGCACAAGGCGATGTGGTGCTCCACTGCTGAAGCTACCAAATACTTACTAAAACAGCATCGTTTGGGACTGCGCGTCAGTGCCACTCATGGGAACTGGAAGATTTTCTGGATTGAAGGAGCTGTACCCAACTGTGCTGCTCCTCCTCTATCAGTACTCGGGGGACTAGAGAGTCTGGACTAGAATTTAAGGACTCTAAATGATCATAACTTTCCACTTATTTACTGCAAATGGCATTGCGTTCCTCACCTGTGCTCAACACTGTACTCACCACCTCTTGGATATGGAGGTGGAAGGGAAGAGTGCCACCTGTTTCCTCAGTTTGGCAGCTTTCTTCCTTGTCTAAGTTCATTGCTTTTTAAGATCACTTTATCCAAGCGGAAGAGCCCTGCAGCTAAGCATTGCCATGATTGCAAAACTGTGCAAATGTCTTTGGAAGGAAAAGTTTAAGAGAGAAGTTGTAAATAAGCTCTGTGATTCCAGATGTCAGCAGGTCAGAACTATTCGTGTGATTTTAGCAAACATCACATGGAGGTAGCAGAGAGAGAATCCATCCCTTACCCTCTCCCTCCACCGCCAGCAACGTAGAGATTTCACTGAACTACACCGTCCTTTAAAATGCGTCTGGTTTAGAGGGAGAGGAAAATGATTGGGTTTGCCAAATATGGTTTTGTACTGGGTATTGGTAGTATGATGATAACCCTCTTTGTAAAAGTATTTAAGTACTTGTCTAATTTTAAGCAGCTGAGTATTGCCATTTTTTTCGAAGATTATCACATGCTTAAAATGAATACATGCTTTCTTAAAATATGTATGGGTTTGGAGATTTAAATACACCCACGTTCTGCTGATAGATGTCAAGTCTTTTGAAACAATTTGTATTTCTGTTTTTGCCCCCTAGGTGGACACCCATGGAAACATTCTGCTAACATCACTTGAAATTCACAACGAGGTGGCAAGCAACGAGGTCACCACCAGCATTACGGATGCCCGAAATTCAACGATATCCTTTGACAACTCAGGAATCCAGTACAGAAAACAAAGCTCACATCGCGAAAGCCTTGGAAGGCGTTCGTCAGAAAGAACAGGCTCCCACAGCAAGAGGGGCCATTTACGAAGAAGGTCTTCGCAATTGAAAATAAAAATCCCTGATCTAACAGATGTGAATGCCATCGATAGATGGTCAAGAATGGTGTTTCCATTCACATTTTCTCTTTTCAACTTAATTTACTGGCTATACTATGTTAACTGAGTGACTGAACTTTTTTAAAGGACTTCAATTATAACAAGTGAAGTACTACTTGCCTGCAGAGTTTATATATATATTTATACTTATAAATATATATATATATGAACTTTTACTATGTAGACCATACTCATGTATGTGTGAATACATATAGCAAAGAATTGTGTGTATATAAAAGCACACACTGCAAAGCAAAAGTGTATGTATGCACACACACATGTACACATTCGTTCTGAGGTTATGGACACTTTAACATAGAATGCATTTCAGAGGAACTTTTTAAATCAAAAGGCAGGTGTCGTCAAAACAACAAGCCTTGAGAAAGTAAGTGTTGTATATTATCACTGCAAAACTTGGATTGTCATAGGAATTTTCGAACAGCTGTAATCGTGTATAAAGTCAGTATTTAGTAACATTGTTTGTAAATGCTGCCATACACACTAATCATAAAGTGGTAGAGTTACACTGGTAAGTTTAAAGTAAGTCATTTATATTGCAGATCCATCAACTACGATTTCATCAAGCCAAATTTACTTTTCTGTGCTAAAATTCCTTGGGTTTATATATGTCATAATATATGTTATATATGTTATGACATATATAAACCCAGTCCTGAATGGGCATCGTTTTTAATGATCTCTTGCTTTCTCTTCTGCAGTGAGCAAGCTGATCATGGGAGCGTTGCTCTAGGTCTTTGGAGACATATACATGTTCATAATATTTCAAACAAGCATTTTAAGTGTCCATCAACAGTGAAACGAATCTTTTGTAAGTACTGTAATTGTACAGCACATTTTCCTTCCCTTGGACTGGTTCCAGCTGCCATGTCATTTTGAAAGAGAACAGCACATTTTTAGTATAATTTAGCTGAGAATTCAACTACTGTCAATGTGTTCTACATCTGCTGTAGATTTAAAGATTGTTATTCCAGTGAAAGCGTAGAAGATGTCTCAGGTTATTTGCTACTTCGACATGAAACCACCTAGCTGTAGCCTTTTTTAAACATGCATTCACATTATTTAACATTCTTATAACATTGTATGTTAATGTAAATATATATTTGCATAATATGCATATAAGTATATTTTCTCAATATTTTTCTTCCCTGTGCTTGCTATCGTGACCGCATGCTATGTCATATTTTTGTTTCTGTGATGTTACAACTTTTTATTCTCTAGAATTGAGCAAATAGAACACTTCCGATACTTTGATTCAGTAATGGAGCATTTTCATATTTTATTTATATACTGAAAGTATATACACGTACACTTATCAAGCTAGTGTGCTGCAGTCACAGATCACAAGAGGTAGTTTTGTTTCAACATCAACTATGTTCAAACATATCTTTCATGCAAATGTGACCACTTTGGTTTTCATCCCAATTCATTCCCTCACCAAGATTCCAACTTTTTTCAGTCTAGTAGATTGTAGTCGTCAAGGTATGCCAATTTCAGATCTGTAAACTTAATTTGTTATTTATCAGCACTAAACCTTTCTAAAGAAAAGAAGATATATTTTTTGTAAACAGTGTTTCTATCATGTACATTCACAAATAACAACAGATACAGTAGCATAAATAGATCTAAAAAAAAATAATTCAGGTGTGGCCCCGCATGTAGGATTCCTCTGGACAGCGATGGGAATTTTTGGCAGATAGAGAGCTTTGGATGCTCATTAGAGACGTCTATGGGAGAAAAATGTGTGGATATGCATCTATCAAAAACACCAAGAAGGGATGAAACTGAAAAGGCTGCCTTGGCTGTGTAACGACCCGTGTTCTTGCTAGTACTTGGTTTATCTGTGAGTAGAGCAATGGTACTAGTGTTGCTGCCATTGTTGTGGTTTAACCCCTCAAACTAACTCTACCCCAGCCAAAACCAGCACAGCCATGTACGGTCCGTTACTGTTCCCACCCCTGGCTATTTGCAGCTGAATTGTAAAACTTTGCTCTGGGCTGAAAATCAGCATGGAGAACCTGGGTTGCAAGGTCTGTATTGTAATCCCATCCTTGGGGCTGCTCCTTGAGCAGGGCTCCGCACAGCTGCCTTGCAGCAAAGCTGCAATGCGATCCCCGGCTGGTAGCGTTCACCGTAACCCCGGCTGCCGGCGCGTGCAGGATCAGCACCGCAGTCTTGCTGCATCCTTGGCAGTGGCGCAAAGTGGCTGTAACTGCAGTTTTTAAGCACTGTATCTGCAGACAACTCTACGGTATGAAGAGCCTCGAAGGAACCTGTATAGCTAGAGCAGAAAAACTTGGTTTTTAAAAGCTCCTCAGTATTAGCTCCCATTGGTAAACCACAATGTATTATGAGCTCTCTAGTATCTCTTCAAACTGTGAAGGGATTATAGAGCACATTGTCATCATTATAATCAAAGTAACTAAACAATTAACACCCTCCCAAAGTACATATTTGGTAGAATTGTTGAAAAGCCCTCCTAAGTTTTTATCCTAGTAACAAAATATAATTAAACAAAAAAATCTGATTATAATAAAACTTAAAAATGGTAGGCTTTGCTTTAGCAAAATTACCCTAATGAAACAATCTTCAAGCAAGTCTTTCAGTAAGTGCCCTAAAGAACTACCTTGAAAAATGGGATTCAAGAAGAGAGTGGTCCCACCCTGATGATTTAATCACAGTTCTCTCTTTTCTTCAAGCCCCAGCTCCTAGAAATCGTGTGGTCAGGCAGAGATCTTCAACAAGAAGAAGAGACTTTTTAGTTGTGATAGAAATGTGTACTCCAAATCCCACTGAAATCAGTTCTTCAGTGGCTTCAGCCAGGATTTTCAAGCAGACGGAAAATTACTGTCTGGCCAGAGCGTAGAGGCAATGTGCATTTTCGGGACCCTGCGTGGGCAAGAGAACTGAGTCTCTGAGTACTCTCCCTCTCTTACCCTTTGCACAACTGGAGGGTGGTGTGTTACTGCAGCCCCCTTCATGAAACCGTACTCCTCACCTTGCCTCTCATCGCAAAAAGTGGCCAGTTGCACATTTCAGCTTTTTCACGAGATTCCGTTTTCATCAGTCTAGTTGAGTTCCATGGGGCACAAGCAGCTTGAACCTTGAACAAATCCAAGTCTTGGTTTGACTTGAAAAAAGCCAGGAAATTCTCACTTAAGGTTAACACTTCATCTTTAACACGCATTTTTGTGCCTTTTTTTGCCAATTCCCTTCCTCCAGTCCCAGCACCACTTCTTACACACAGACACACACAGACACACACACACAACCATGTGTTAAGAACAGTGTTTGCCTTGACTTCCCATTTTCTGGCTCTTGTCCCTTAATGCTGGCTGCAGTATATGATTTTAACCATAGATGTCTTTAAGACTAAAAATGGTAATTTCAACCAAATTGCACCAGAGTAATGTATTTCGTAGCTAATTAACTCCTTTCTAACTCAACACTACTATAAATAACACTTACACATCATTTGTTTGTAAAAGGCATTAAAAAAAAGAAAACTGGAACTATCTTGTGTTATAGCCCAAAGGGTCAATAAACAGCAGAAATATTATGGTGGTTTAAGTTGATTTCATCCCATTGTAAAGATAAACTAAAACCCAGTCTTTTTTGCTGAAGGCACATCTATGTATTTTTGGTATTCTTCAGCAGTGAAAAAAAAAAAGAATAGTAAAATGGAATGATGAAGAGATGCTTTATGAAAATATTGATAAATGAATATTCATTTATTAAAAAGGATTTAAAGATCAATTGCTTACTTTTTTTCCTGGGGATGGAGCGAGTATGACGACTGTGTGTTTGGCTAAATTTTAATGTTTAATTACGTGTTAAATATCATGTAATGGTTAGTCTTACACAATTTTAAAGAAAAAAAAACACATGAAAACATTTCCTTGTCGACACACAAGGAGCAAAAGGGATTCTTAAGCATTAAACTACTGTATTTCATAGTGTTTTCTATGGTAGATTAAGGAAGAGGGAAAAACTACATCCATTGGCTTAGCAAGATTCTTAATGGCAAACCAACCTCTCTTCAGGCTGGGGCATTGCCTCTTAAGAGCAGAAAGTTTGTCCTCTGCTTTATATGAAAGCTCTACCCGCCCAGGAGGCAAAAGAGCTTTTGATAGCACAACAAGGCAGTGGTGTCCTGTTTGTTTCATTCATCAAGTCATAAATATTTCAAAACCAAACCAAAAAAACTTTCTCCAGCTATGCTAATTGTATCAGGAATGCTAATTGTGTTCATTACACTTTTTATTGCTAAGTATTAGTAAGTTATTTTAGAGGAGTCAGAATAGGGACAGATTCCGAGAGGGGTTTTTGAAGTCATCTTGACAGTAGTTCACCAACCCCTTCCCCCAAAACTAAAAAATACCCTGAAGATTTGGAAAGCAGACAGTCCTTAAACCCAATTGCCGTGCTTTGCATTGGAATAAGCTGTCACATGCTTGCTTAAATCTCATCGTAGCTAATGATACATGTCACAACTTTTGGGAGTAGATAAAATATTCAGCACCGTAGATGTGATTGCAAGGCCTTTGAAGTCAACAGAAAGGCTCCCTCTGATTTCAGCACATTTCTGCTCACTTTTAGCAACGCTTCCCAGATCATAGGTAACATCTATTATCTATTTATTCCAGTCCAGCCCGTCTTGTAGAGTAGGAAAAATTAATGATGTACCAAGCTTAGTTTTCTGCTTGGGAATATCTGGTAAGAGATGTATTTCTTTGTGTGTTTTGGAGCTGATGTATGGATAAACATTATCAATTAATTGCTTAAGTACTACTCATTATATTAAAGGAGTTCAGGTTCTAGTAGAAATAATTGGCTGTTTTCCCCAAATAAATATGGTCCTATTAGTATCAAGACTATTTCCACAGATGTTGGTTTTATAGTCACGACTGTCAAAACAGCAAATGCTACCTGCTAATAGAAGTACAGCAGACAGCTGAAAACTAAAGGCAGTGGGAATCCCAGGGCTTCTCTGAACTGTTTTGGAGCAAAGAATCTCTCATAAGTACCTTCAAACTCCTCCAAATATAGAGTCTGAGATTTTCTAAAATTATTTCAGATTTTGGGTGTTTAATTTATGTGGTTCTTATAGCTTGTGATGGCCTGACTTGCAGACTCGGACACACACTGAAAATCAGGCCCTTTGGCAGCTTACCCAACATACAGCATCACTTGTCATACTTGAAAACTAAAGCCATGTGGATGGGATATGTAATAATACAAAAAGAAAAACTACTGCCCTTAAAATCAGCCAGAGTTTAAATTATTGCCTAATTAACTGAACTTTAGGTAATGCTTAAGCAAGCACAATATTTGTTTGGACGATGTCGCTTACTTTTGCAATGTGTATGCGGTATGCCTTTGTCCCAGCATCGCAGCCTTATTTAGATTAGCAGGTTTTGTTCTGCACTGGAAACAAGGGAAAATCCAAAAAGTGGCTGCTCAGGCCACTTTTGCCCCTGCACTGCATACCTCCCTAGACAGAGCTCCCCAAGGCCACTCGGGTCCCTGCTCTGAACCCTCCTCGGAGGCACGGATCTCTCTCCTTTGACTCCAGAGGGAGCCTTAGGCTAAACTCTGAATTATCCCCCAGCTTACCACCAGCAGTTGGCTTCTTTCAGATGTTATTGCTCCTGCTGCGGACACCTGAAGATAAAGTAGCTATTATCCTAGCTGGCAGAAGCACACTGGCAAACAGCCTGTGTACTCGGGGCTATGATACATCATGGTAATCTTTAGGTTATTCGTTCTAATATCGTATTAAAATATATTTCAGTTTATGTTTTAGCCTTCAAGAATTAACACACTTGTCTCCAGGTGCTGATGCTTTTTACATGAATGTACTTGGGAGTCTGGGACAGAG